AGGGTCATGAAATTCACACACAACAGAGTTCCCCATGGCCCCCACCTACCCTCCAAATTTCGTCTTTCTAGCTCCAGTGGGAGCTGAGATCTTAGGGGGGGGGGGTGACATCCGCCCCCCCCCTTCCACTGGGCGTAGTACTCGCAACCCTTCCACTGCGCGTGTTAATGTTAAACGCCGTGCAATTTATTAATTACTTCAGACATAATTCCTGAGAAGTCGTCTATCACTGTGGAGCTGTAGGTATGGGTAAATACGAGCTATGAGTCTGTGAAATAGTAAACAAATTTGATAAAATTGATCGCCTGTGAAATCTGGGGAAATCAATGTGCGCCAACCAGTTTTCTCAGTAATTCAGCCAGCAATTCTCGTGCTGTGTTCAAAAAGACATTTACAGTGAGGGGCAAACTTAAGAAAAACGAACTTATAGCTATCGAAATCTGCACACCGTCTTGCAAAGAACGAGAGCCCTTCCGGTCATGTCCAATGTCCATTTTCCAATAACGAGTGCCGTCGGTTAGTACGGGGCACGGGCCTCAGACTCCGGTTCCGCCCACTCTCCAGCCCCGCCACGTGGAGGGCACGTTGGCGTTTGGCCGGTCTTTTGCTGCCGACTGTTAGCACTGAACAGGTGCGCCAGCTCCGGTGGTGCGGGCGGCCGGCCAACCGACCCGATCACTTCCTGAGGCCGTGGAACGACAGAGTACCAGCTGGCCCGGTCAGTTCCCGGGCCAGGGGAATGACATCGGGGTAACTCAGCCGACCAGAGTGGAGGCCAGGGCAGCCTGACTTCGTTAGATCACTGATATCCTGCCCGCCAGGCTTGACCATTAAACTTTTGTTGTTCGTGCTCTGATGCCAAAAGAAGGGTTCAGATCGTCCGCAGTGGGTGGTCTGGTCATGCTAGCAAAAAGCCTCTTCTTTCCTTTACGTCTCTCCTGCCATTGTTCTGTCATTCCGATTTTCTGCGAAGTTGATTCTTTTGATCGTAGCTTACGGTTTGCGTCTTTATGCTTATTTCCAAAGCTGTACGTTATGGTTCGATTTGCCTATCACAGAGCTCTATCCTTATCTCACTTTAGATGCATACACTCGGATGTTATCGCGATGGGACGGATCGCGAGTCCGTGAGCTACAGGCGGAAAAAATCGCACAACCGATCACCATCCTACTGAGCCTGTCACGTATCACATGACACAAACGTGCGCTCAGAAATACCACCGGACCATACACACCGGCACATGCCATTGGATCCGACCTCTCACCACCCCTCCCCTCCCCAACGAACGCAGTCAAGTCCCCCCCCCCCCCGGTCGGCGATATCGTCCGAACTGCAGGCGCTCGTCCATCAGCAATGGAGCTTGTCGCTAGCACTCAGGCAGGTGCTATAAATACGGCGGTGGCGACTGGTGACGCCTGCAGGCCACCCGATTACTGGGTCAGCTGGCGGTCACGCCGCCGCGCCGGTCGCTACAATCGTGAGCGCTTCGGGCCAGCCGAAATGAGACGCTATTAGCGCGGCGAGTTCATGTCAGACACAGGGAACATGACCTGGCAACTGCGGACTGTCTTCAGTCGGACAGCGTATCGTGTGAAGGCGCCCGAACACAAGCTGCAGCATGGATCACACTGCCAAGGCATGCGGTTTCTCTGATACAGTGGGAAGGTCATCTATTAAAATCGGCTGTGGTTTGCTGTGGTTTGCGGCCGGAGAGCTGCACCAGCGCTGTGGTTGGCTCGCTATATCCCAGTGTGAATGCCGGGCGGGGGTCGCACGCGGCGCGACTCACCTTGCGTCGGCGAAGCTGCTGAGATGTTCGGCACTGGCACTTTCACTGTGGTCGCATGCCGCTCGCACGTGGGGGTTGTCTGACGGCGGAGTCGGGCGGCGTCCTCCCGTGGCGGCGGCGCTACTCCGAGTGGCTGGAGGCGCCGACTCCAGCGGCGGCCGCCGGAGCCGTCAGCCCCGCGGCGGGTCAGGACGGGCGGGACACAGGCACATCCGGCAGAGCTGCCAGCTGCTCCACCGTGCCGTGGTATTTGTGAAAATGCCAGGGGTGTTTTGGCTGAGTAGGTATTGAATATGCCATCGTATCATGAGTTCAGTTCGTCGAGTGACCCTTTCAACACATGCCCCTTAGAGCCCGTTTCCGGCTTATTTGTTTTTAATGGTAATGTTTGAGATGACGTTAGATATAAACCTAACACAAGCTAGGTCCTGAGGGGACCACGCAGGGATTAGCGATAAACGGCGCTAGAGAGGGCGTCGAAAATCATGAAAAAGTACTTCAGTCGTTCTTCGGTGCAGGTGAAAGATCGCGTACCTACCTAATAAGAGGTCTAGTGTTGTAATTTAAATTGTATAATATATCGGGACTTTAAAGAGCTACCCGAAATGTCAAAAAAATTGATAGGTACGGTAGCTCTTTTCCAGCCAATTCAATAAGAGCGATTTTCACGACGGTTATTTGTTTTTTTTATACACATTTGGTTGCTTTTAGCGCGATTGGGCCAGGTAAGGCTTAGTGGCTTTCAATTTAGGTAGCGCTTGTACTTATAGATTATAGGTATCTGATTTATCAAATTATCAGACATTGTTTTCGATTAAAACATTGAAGTGAATTTACGATATGAAGAAATTTGCTGTAAAAAATGATTTGGATACATTCGGAAGTCTGATGCATTCGCCAGATAACCCGTCGTGAAAGGGTGCGTATTATTTAAGGGCACGATGTGTCCAGTGTTCAAAATGGCCAGTGCCTTGAATGGGCCAGAGTTCATAGTGTCCAGGGATTACATATGTAGTCAACCCAACCCAACCAAACCTAACCTAACCTAACCTAACCTAGCCTAACCTAACCTAACCTAACCTAACCTAACCTAACCTAACCTAACCTAACCTAACCTAACCTAACCTAAGGTAATGATGTTTGCCTACCAGGGATAAGGAAATAGTTTCTCGCATGAATAGATTGCAAGCAATAGTAAATCAAATGTTTTTAGGTTAAGTGGTTATGCATCAGGCTTCAGGCCTTCGGCCTGAAGCCAGATACATAACCACTTAACCTAAAAATATTTGATTCACTATTGCCTGTAATCTCTCCTAAGGCATTGCCTTCGGCACTGCACTGCTTTGCATTGAGCTGATTCCGTGTTTTTTACATAATGACGTCACTTTCAGTGACTATGTAATCCCTGGACATTATGAACTCTGGCCCATTCAAGGCACTGGCCATTTTGAACACTGGACACATCGTGCCCTGGACATTATGAACCCTGGCCATTTCGAATACTGGACACATCGTGCCCTGGACATTATGAACCCTGGCCATTTTGAACACTGGACACATCGTGCCCTGGACATTATGAACCCTGGCCTCTTTGAATATACCCTATCTGCAGCCAGTTGGCCACATTTGGACCATGCAATCCCTGGACATTTTTAACTCTGGCCCATTCAAGGCACTGGCCATTTTGACACTGGGCATAGCGTACCCTGGACATTATGAACCCTGGCCAGAATGAATGCTCCCCTCGTGAAAACGGGTTTAATGTTAACCCGCGCCCTGCTGGGGGGGGGGGGGGTGTTTGAACACCCCCCCTTGTGGTTTTTCGCGAATATCTCAAAAACGGCGGCGCTCCGCGCCGCCGTTTTTGGTATACCTTATCACACATCAATTCTACACATGTTGTGAAAATTTCAGACCAAGGCCATTCAAGGTCAGGTCACCAGGTCACTTGAAGTGACCTCACCTCATAAAAACTTTCAATGTCTGTCATAGCTACACCGAGTGACCGATCACTTTGAAACTTTCAGCGATTGCTAAGAGCAATAGCATGTACAAAATGTATATCTCAGAATTTTGATATCGATGACCTAAGGTCAGGTCAATTTTGCGACCTCCCCATTATAAGTCAATGGGAGAAAATTGAAATGCGCCTCTTTTGGATGAAAGACATTATAAACACTCCCAAACACCGAATTACAAGTGGTTTAGACACACTGAACTTGAAAATGGTGTCCGTGACCCTTGTTTATGCCCTAAGGTCATCTTAGGTCACGAATGGTATCTATCAGTTTTTCGCAAATAACTTTTGATAGAGGCATGCTAGAGCGATGAAAACGCCTTAGATGTGTTCAGCTCGACGATACGGATCGACTGATATGCAACATGACCCTTTCCGGTCAGGTCATGACCTTGACCTGAGGTCAAATTTTCAAGTTGACCTTTCAAGGTCAAGTTATAGTTCATTCGATGCGTCTTGACGAGAGGAACACGATGCCGGTAAAACTAAGCTCGTACAAGGCTTGGGTCAAAAGTTATTGCAGAAAAACTGTTTTCGAAAAAATCGGCTATTTTTGCAGTTTTTGCCCCCTGCAGGCAAAACCGTTGACGTTAGGTCAAATCTGAGAAAATTACTCAGAAAGGGCGTTAATAGGGCTATCGAATGCGCTTTTCCGCGGCGCTGTAGCTCTATTGGTTCCCGAGTTATGCGTTGGCTTCTTGGAAATTTTCGACATTCGACCTGGAAATCGGCGAAATTTTGCCTTCAATGACCTCTGGTGACCTGACCTTTGACCTGACCAAAAAATTGACCGAAGTGATTTCGTCATTATTTTTTACGCTCTTTCGAACGCCGCCTTCCGCGTATCGCTACGTGGCCCAGGAGCCGAGTTACAAGGGGGGTGTTCAAACACCCCCCCCCCAGCAGGGCGTGGAAATCCAGGACCCCCAGCCGGGCGCGGGTTAACCTGCGCACCGACGGGGGCGGATATCCGCCCCCCCCTGAGGTTTTTCGCAGATAGCGGGGAAACCGCGGCGCGTAGCGCCGCGAAATTTCGTACGACTATTCTCTCATCAATTTTACACACGGTGTGCAAGATTGAACCTACTAGCTTTTAAGGTCAGGTCACCAGGTCACTTTGAATGACCCAACCTCAAGTCGCTTTTTTGCAACTTTGTCACCGTGCCAGAGCTACAGTAGATGTCGTAGGCCTTTGAAAGTCGCAGGGTGTTATAAGGTCATTAGTAGCTACATTTGTTTGTCTCGGAATTTTGATGTCGATGACCTAAGGTCAGGTCAATTTCTCGACCTCCTCATGGAAAAATCAACTACCTGTTTTACGACTAAAACGGGTCGGAATGACCCCATAAACCATACATGACTTCATATACGATCAACCTTCATTACCTTGAGGTACATTTTGCTGTTGGGCAGCTGTAAGGTCATGTGACGTCATCAAAGGTCACCAAATCAAAGGTTACTGTTCGTAAGGCTAACAGGGCGCTAGGCGTGCTCATGCGATCATTCCAAACTGGCAAGCGTGGCAGGTCACTCCGTGAGTGCAATGTAAAGGCTGTGCTGGCTTCATACTGCGCAAATGTTCGTTCCATTCTCGAGTTCGCAGGCGTGGTGTGGGGAGGGGCGGCAGAGACGCACATGAAACGCATTGAGCGCGTTCAGCATAAGTTTTTGATGTGGCTGAGCGGTAGATGTCGAGACACAGACGTGTCCCTTGAGTACGACGCCCTGATGAAGCGCTTCCACATGGCCCCCCTCGCAGCGCGGCGTGAACAGCATGACATCATGTTCATCCGCAACATTCACCGTCATGCTGTGGACTCGTCATACCTGTTGGAACAGTTTCCGCTGGCAGTGCCTCCTCGCCCGCTCCGGAATAGGACGCTGTTCCATGTGCCGTATGCTCGGGTCAACACGGTCAGAAATAGTCCATTCTGTCGCTTGCCGAAGCTTTGTAACGCGTTTCTCGACCGAAACCGGGCCATTGACATATGGAACCACAGCGCTCTGAACTTCAAAAAGCATGTGATCACCTATGTGCGCGAGAAGTAGACCAACAGAGGTGTGTTTGTGTCGATATTGTGTCTGTTTTGCATTGTTATTCACCTTGCTGCGTTTGTGTGTTTTTATTCTGATGACTTTGTCTATAAATGGGTCATCTTACCCGTGGATGATATGCTAAATAAACTAAACTAAACTAAACCAAAGGTTTTTTTGCCAATAACTCCGTACAGGAACAAGATACAGCCACCCGGATGGTCTCATTGTGTTCAGCTGGTCAAGGCGCATCGAATGATATGCATGATGACCTCGAGGTCACGTGACCTGAGGTCAACCTGTGACCTTGACCTTTCGAGGTCAGCATATATGATTCGATGCGGATTGACGACAGGATCACGAATCACGATGATGACCTTAGTTTGTTCCTATCTTGACTAGTTCGAAAGTTAGTTATTCGAGAAAAACTCTCCATATCTAGCGCCGCCATTTTGACTTTTTTACCCCTGTGACGTCATCTTTGACCTGACCTGAAAATGACCTAAGTAAAAACTGTAGACCTTGTCCGTGCGTATCCCATGCCGTTTACCGCTTGTCGCTATCTTGCTTCGTTCTCGAGATCTCAAGGGGGCGGTCATCCGCCTCCCCCCGTCGGTACGAAGTTGGCGCAGACCCCCGTCGGTGCGCGGGTTAATAGTAGGACAAATTCATTCATTCATTCATTCATTCATTAACCTTTTCTAACAACTGTACTCCCTTAACCCGGCAGTTGCTGGGGTATTTCGCCACCCACCGTTTGCTGGGGGGGGGGGGGCGTTAAACGCCCCCAGCCGATAACTCGAGAACCAATAGGCACAGCGAAACGCACGAGGCGGCAAACGAAAGAACGCGACGAGACGCTTCAGATGAGTACTTTAAAGTTGAATTTTGAGGTCACAGGTCGGGTCAAGGTCAGGTCAAACACCTGAAATCGGGCATTCAGTAGCATGGACTTCAGGACTTCGCAATGGGCGCCTCTCGCCATAAACTCTGTCAAAACGGTGCACAATCCATCTTATAAGGCCTACGAGAGTGTCAGCTCCATGTAGGGGTCAGTCAAGCATAGGTCAGGGTCAAGGCCAGGTCAACCGGGTAGGCACATATCCCCGAAAATCAAAACTGATATTCGCAGCCTGTGACACATGTTTTATAGGTAATTTGGGGCGTAGAACACGATGGTGACATTTATTTTATCATATGTGTACATGTTTGGCTCAAAAAGTTCAATTTAAGAAATTCATGTATCATGGTCGTGAAGTAGTCACGAAAAATTACCAAGATTCAGTTCAAGATTATAAAAAATGCGGAACGATAATCAATAATCGAAGATAGCCATTTGATTGATCATGGTATTGGCAGTCTAATGGCGTTTACGGCATGTCTGTATGTCTATTCTGTGATTTTATATGATTTTTTGAACATATGCCGTTTTTGGTCGAAAACTCAGAAATCATGACGTCACTAAAACCTCGATATCCAGTGGCGGCGGAAGGTGATTTTGGATGGGGGTGCAAAGTTTTCTCAAGGGGCCCCTCTGGAAGTTTTGGGCCCCCTTCATTTTTTTAGCGATTATTATTGATTTATGAAAAACGAAGATTTTGGAAAACTATCCCCATACACACAAGTTCTGTAAAAGGTTTGAAATTGCAGTGTACATAGGCCTATCTCAAATAATGAAAGCGTAAAGAAGCAAATGCAGCTAGTTTTTATCGGCTAATCTTTTAGTCTAGCCACCACCCGCAGCGTCTCAAACCACTTTTCTGGATCCGCAGTGGACCATTGAGGGCCCTACGAGACCGTTCCAAGAAGACCGTGTTTAGAAGCCCCTTGGAAACCGACCACATAGAGACTCCTCCAAAGACCTACATGACTCCCCAGATTGAATGAGCCCTCCGATCAGGGTCGGTCCCTTGAAAGCTGCTGAAAGGTTTCAGAAGGCAGTATAGGCTCGAAAGTCTTTTGAGGGCTCTCAGAAACCGGCATCGGACCCCAAAAAAGCCTGTATGGAGGCCCTCCAAAGCCGGGATGGAGGCCACAGGAGCCGATGCTTAGCCTAAGGAGCCGGTATGGAGGACTGAATAGAGGAAAGGGGTCTCAGTGGGGCCTTCAGGGGCAAGCGTTTGAGCCCCAAAAGTATGTGTGGGATCTTAGAGGCAGGTAGACCCCTGGGATATGCACGGGGTCCCAGGAGCTGGCGCATGTGAGCCCAAATATTCGGCTGGCGGCTACTAGAACCAGCATGGGGATTGTTAGGACTTAGAAGCGGCTTAGTCCCACATTTCATGGGTCATGAGTCCCAAGAGTCGATGTAGGGGCCATAAAAGCCGGTGTAGGGCCCATGGCCCCATAAGTTCCGGCATTGAGACTCTCAGAGGCCAGCGACGGGGCACCAAGAGCAGATAAAGTGCCTCAACAAGCCGACATGGGGCCTGAGAATCATTATGGAATTCCAGGAGCCTGCGTGAGCTCTCGGAGACCTTCGTATTTCGTAAGGTCCACAAAGGTCGTTGGGTCCTCTGAATCCGAACTCTGCGGGGCCCTCAGAGGCCAGCATGTCTCCTGGCACCTGCCTGCGTTGAGGTGAGATTCTTCGAGGCCGTCGTAGGGTTCTTCAGAGGCCAGCGTTGGCCCTTGAAGCCTTCGTTAGGCCCTAGAAGCCGTCAAGAGGGCCCTCAGAGGTCAGCATGGCCCCTGGAGCCTGCCTGCGTGGAGGCCCTCAGAGGCCGTCATGGAACCCTCAGACGCCAGCGTGGGCCTTTGGAGCTTGCGCTGGGTCTTAGAGACCATTGTGAGGGCCCAGAGAGGTCGTCGTCAGGGCCCTCAGCCCCTCAGGGACCATCCTTGGGTCCTCAGAAGTTGTTGTGATGGCCCTTAGAAGCCTTCAAGAGGATCATCAGAGGTCGTCATGAGGGTCCTTGGCCATAGTGAGGGTCTTCATGGGCCCCCAGATACCTTTGCAGGGCTCTCAGAGGCCTTGGTAAGACCGCTAGAGGCCATCGTTAGGGCCCTCAATAGACCGCTGCAGGGCCCTCAGATGCCAGCATAGCCCTTGCAGCCTGGCTATGTTGGGGCCACCAGAGGCCGTCGCTGGGCCGTCTGAAGCCAAATGGGCCCTCAGACTTGAGTTGGGTCTAGGGCCGTCACGAGGGCCCTCAGAGGCCAGCGGGGCCCCTGGAGTCCTGTGGGACCCTCAGCGGTCGTCATGAGGGCCCTTAGTGGTCGTTATAGGGCCCCAGAGGACAGAGATCGTCATGAGAGCCCTCAGAAATCGGAAGGGCCCTCAGAGATCGGAAGGGCCCTCAGAGGCCGTCATAGGGCCCTCAGAGGCCGTCATAGGGCCCTCAGAGGCCAGCGTGGCCTTTGAAGTCTCCTTGGGGCCCTAGAGTCTCTGTGGGACCCTCAGCGGTCGTCATGAGGGTCCTTAGTGGCCGTTGTAGGGCCCCAGGGGACAGAGGTCGTCGTGGGAGCCCTCAGAGATCGTCATAAAAGGGCCCTCTGAGGCCGTCGTGGGGCCCTCAGATGCCGCATGGAGCACCAAACGCGGCTCGGAACACTTCTAGTCGGTGTGGGGGCCCCAAAGACTAGCATGGGGCGCTCCTGACCATAACTGGACATCCCGGATGATTCCACATCAGTGTTCGTTTCTCGATCACTGGTTTTCAGGAGAAAATGTATTGGATGGTGTGACGGGCCCCTTGTACGGATTTTGGGGGTGCAAAAAGATATGCTTGCACCCCCATGTTTTTCGATGGGGGTGCAGCTGCATCCCCTGCACCCCCTATTCCGCCGCCACTGTCGATATCTCAAAAATTTTCCGACCGATTTTTTTGAAACTTTGTCACAATAAACTTCAATCAATTCTCTACAGGTACCCAAAATTTGGCGCGCCGTTTTTATGCTATGGCCCGGCGAAAAAAGTGGGGGCGTTTAACGCCCCCCCCCCCCAGCAACTCGCGGGTTAAGTGTCTGTTATCTCCTTCGATTAACGTGTCGCCATATCAGCTGTTAGCGCTCTATTCAGAAAACCAGCAACGGTCGAATGCATCAATGGTTATTAGAGTTTCTGGCCGTTGGGTACCGATCAGCGGAAAGCACACAGTTGCTACGCATTGTCTGTAAGGAGTGGACGTTTTTGTGGGCCTGCAGACAGGTGTTCAAACAGTGCGGCCTTCCGATGGGTGGACACACACTGGACGCGCGCTGCTCGCCGTCCCAGCCCCGATGTGGCACCAGGACGGGCAGCGTTCGACCGGTCCCAGACAGCGTCCGTCGCTCAGTTGTGTGTGTCCTCTCCAGGCAGTGTCAGTAGTCCCAGAGCGGCGGAGGAAGGACCACACACAGCTTGTGCTCCAGCATAAGACATTTCAGCCTAAGACATTCAAACTGAACTTGTGGGAAAGTGTTTGAAAGAAAAGTGCAAAACCATCTTGTCGTGCTTTGTATGTGCGACTTGAAAAAATAGCATTGACAACGCACTAGTCCTTTCAATCAGAGAGAACTTGGTAGTTGGAGGACGAGAGAAGGTCGCGGGCCCGCGATGTGGCACCACGGACGGCTGCTGCGACGCGTTCTGCTCGTCAGCTCCGTGCTGACGCTGGGCGGCCTGCACGTGCCGGACGACAGGCTGCCGGTCGGCTGGCGGGTCGGCCGGCTCGTGCCACTCACCCTCATCACGGCAGCCGTCCTCGCCAACGGCGCCGCCATCGCCCTGTCGAATACCGTTTCCTTCATGCTGCTCTGCGTCGTGTTTGCGTCGGTCATGTGGCACACGCTGGTGGCGCTGGTGCACCTGGTACGACGACGACAGCAGCTACATCGACTGCTGCGGCGGCTGGATCGTATGGAGGAGGCCACAGCGCTCTGTCGTGACGCCAGCGATCACCACGCCATCAAACTGCGCAGCGTCGGCATCACCGCGCTCACCGTCTTCACCGGCGTGGCGTGGTCGTCCGACTTCTTCACCAGCGGTCTCTGGACGCACTCCAACTACCTGTTCCCGGTGTGGCTGCCGGTGCGACTGAGTTCGTCGGCCTCATTCTGGGCGGTGATTGGCGTGGAGCTGGTCATCGTGGTGATGTGCTTCACGCTCCAGATCGCGTTCGACCTGCTGCAGGTCGGTCTGATGGACGCCATCGCCCTGTTCCAGGAGCGTCTGACCAGGTACACCCGACTCTGGCTGACGGATGGCCGGTCCACTCAGGGTGACGCCCAGAACAGAGGCGCTGAGAAACGGCTGGGAGGGAATGTCGCCTGGAATAGAGATTTTATCGAGAGAGGTGAAGATGTTTCAAATGTCCCAATGAGTTTCCACGATAAACTTAGCACAATATCTGACCCTGCTACTGATACTTTAGACTATCAATGTGGCAAGACACAAAAGCGTCCGTTTACTACAAGGTTCAAGATGACGAAGATAGGAAATGCCGCCGAGAAAGGTTTGGATAGCCGGATCTCTATGCACTTCAGCAGCTGTGAGTCTCCAAAAGACAATACATCTGAGCCAGCGACATCTAAAGAAGATAACGGTGGCAGTATGCCACGATTGTCTTATTCTGACGACAGTTTAGAAGACGGACTCCGTCACCTGGCCAGCATGTATCGAGCACTTCAGTCGCTGGCCGACGACGCGTCGTCCTTCTGCTCGGTGCCGACCCTCTCTCAGCACGCCAGCGTCACGTTCCAGCTGCTGGTAGGTCTGTACGTCACCATCAACATGTTCGTGTCGGCCTACAGCCGCAGCCTGGTGCTGACGTTCGTCATGTTCCTGGTGACCACGGTGCTGCGCCTGGCGGCCGTGTCAGCCACCGGCAGCGCGCTGGTCGCCAGCGGCCAGAGGCTGTCCCAGGCGCTGGTGGGCGCGCCCTGGCCGCGCCACACCACCGCTGCCGCCCGGTTCAGCGTCCAGATGCTGGTGGAACAGACCAGGAAGCCACTGAACTTCGACGGCTACGGCATCTTTGTCATACAGAAGACCACCATGCTGACAATGCTGAGCTTTGTGCTCACCTACTTTGTCATCATGCTGCAGATGAAGGTCTAGACGGTATCGTTTATCCTGTGGTGTAGTTTCAGCTTTGTTGTTAGTGATTACGTTGCCTAAAAATAAAATACTTATGATATAGCAAATGTCAAGATAACATATGTCAAGGTTACGTGCTGTTACTGATCAATCGCTGAAAGTTTCAAAGCGATCGTTCAAGCGATGTACGTACATAGTAATAGCGAGCACTGGAACTTTTTCTGAGGTAAGGTCACTTGACGGCTGACGCGACCTTATGACCTGACCTCGAACAAATCGGGTCCGAAATTTTAAGGTGTGCAGAAAAGATGTAAATGTGTATCTTTATTGCTAGAAATTCCAAATGTATCATGGCGATAATCATTGCAAAAAAAAACATCATACATCACACGAATAACAATTGGGTTATAATCAATTCAAAGTGCGTCCATGGTGAAAGTTCTCAAAAGCAAATAATCCGTGCACACTAAACAGATGATTGTAAATCGAATGCAATTCACAAATAACTGAATGTAGCTCAGATGTAGCCTACTTCGAGGCCAAATGCCTACTTATATAATACGACAAAACATTTGCCGATATACCTAGCTTCCTAGAATAGGAAATTCCGAAGAATAACAAACTTTTAAAGTATCCAATTCTCCTAAATGTAAAGCATTTAGAGTTTTATGTTCTTTGCTATGGCTACAGTCGGTTTGAATGATAATCTTACTTTGGTAAAATAAGTCAAAAGATAAACGAGAGCTGTCAGTTATGCGAGCGGTGGCCAGGAACAATGCACAATAGCTGTAAATTTGATACGCGAAAGCATTGGGACATCCATTTACATGAGTTATAAACATCGGTGGGCGCAACTGATAAATCAAGATGCAACTGAATCAGCTATCATTCCACACATCAATACGTCATGAGATATTGCGTCCTGGTTTTCTTCGTTACGTTCGTCATAAATGCCTTGGATGAGACAGAGCATGGAACATTTTCACAGCAAATCATCAGATATGGGAACAAAAGTAGCGAACCTCAGAAGGCCAACGACTTTTCCACGAACGTGGAATACAACCGACTCGGCAACTACAGCAGCATTGCTGACTTGCTTCGCAGTCGCGGCTATGACGTGTTCGAGCCCGGAGACTCCATGCCCGTGGTGCTGTTTGGTAAAGATATCGCCGTGTCAGCTTCTCAGATTCTTCCGGAACTTATGGGTCCTACTGAGCGTGGAACTTCTAATATCATACATGCCACATGGAGGAGCAAAAAAGGTGAGACCGTTGTGCATTACTTCTATGACGAGGGAAGCCACCCAAATGTTCAACTTTTTGAACAAGCAGCACGTACTTGGGCCGCGCATACTTGCATCAGTTTTGAGAAGACAGATCAAACAAATTGCTCGGATACAGTATTTTATCCGTCGTTCTGCGTCGGAAACTTTAAAGGGTGTTGGTCTTTCGTGGGGAAAAGTGGTTGGGGAGGTGAGAAGACAGGAAAAGGCAAGGCACAACGGCTCTCAGTGGACAACAACTGTGAACTTGACGCCTGTATCCATGAGTTCGGACACGGGCTTGGATTTCAACACCAGCAAAGTCGACCGGATCGAGATGCGTTTTTATCGATCAACTGGGAAAATTTCAAGGTTAGTGGTGGAAGCGGAAAAGGATGGGAGAAATCTTTGAGAAATACATGGATGCAAGGGACCATGTGCAGTGAGCGACAGGTGGCGGATATTCCCACCCCCTTCGACTACCTATCCGTGATGCAGTACGGGTCATTTTCGTTCGTCGATAACGACATTCGAGCGACGTTTGTCACCAAAAACGAACTGTACCAATGGATGCTCGACTACCACAGAGATCGGGGAATGGGACCGTCGCACTACGACTATCTTGTGATAAACACTTCCTATAAATGCATCGACGCCTGGAAGAAGGCTTGTCAAGAAAATAACCAAACTGTACCGAAATGTGAAAATTTTGGGTATCTGACAAAGAGCTGTACCTGCAAGTGTCCCACAGGATATACTGGTTCTACGTGCAAGAATTCCACCGGTCCTATATTTCCCAGACTGGAAAAGGCAGAATGCTTTATCCAGTGGAATTATCCAGGCATTATTGACATGGCTAATATGGATTTCGATTTTAGAAAGCGTTCCTATGCAAATAGGCGATTTAATTACATGCAGTTTTGTACGATAGTTGTCGATACTAAGAGAGAAGATCAGAGGCCCATCATTTGGTTAGATCCAAGCGAGCTGATGGTGAAAAGACGAAAGTTAATCGACCTACTACATCAGACTGAGTTTGTGACCCACGTCCTTCCACAGTTTTACTTATTTGACTGTCGATTATTTTACAAGCTGTTTTGGACTAGTGACACGAACAATCGCAAACGAACCGAATGTTTCTCATCTATTTTTAACGTCGGATCCAAAGTTACGAAGGAGAAAATGCTTACCTTGCGTTCGAAGCAGCACATACTTTGGATGTACTTCAATGTGGTGTACCAGTGGTCGCATCCCGCCACTGAATTTCTGGAGGCAGCGATGAAGCTAAAGCTGCAAGTGAAGTTCGAGCCGATTCCGCAGCGAGAGCTGTACCGGGCCGATGATTTCGTCGAGGGCCCAGAAACAACGATGGGCCCGACGGGGCTGCCTCCCACCATCCCGCCGGAGCTGCGCTTCGAGACGACCACGCCAAACATCCTCGGCATACCCCTGCCGATGATCTTCCAACATGAGGAGAACCCGCGCCTGGTCTTCTTCGGCTGGCTCCTGATCGGCGTCGGCGCTCTGTTCTTCATGTTCTTCCTGGGCGTCTGCGTGAGTGAGCAGCTCCAGCTGCGCGAGATCCTGCGCTCGGCAGACCGTCAGGCGGCACTGAACGAGAGCCAGCTGCTGGCCAGCGGCTGGGTCATGCTGCGGGGTGTCGATGTCGACAGCGAGGTGAAGCAGGCGCGCGCAGATCGGCGCGCGCGGACCTCACTGGCCGCCGCACTCTTCGAGGACTCGGACTCGGACTCCGACGACGCCGGACGAAAGAAACGAATGATGCAGGAGAAGGCCAGGAAGGCTCAGGCAAAGAAAGGAAAGAATGCTAAAGGAAAGGGAATAAAGACAAGAGTCCAACTAATGAAGGAAAGAGCTGCTGCCGAAGATTCATCCAGCAGTTCTGAGGAAGAGCAGCCGGCCAAGAAGGTGACAAAACCAAAACCAAAACCGGTGAAAGATAAAAAGGAACCCGAAAGAAGAAAGTCAATATTCACACCGCAGAAGAAAGAGGAGGAGAAGCATGACAATAAGTTGATGTGGTTGATGGCCTCAAAAGGTAAAGATGACGATGAGGATTCCTCATCATACAGCGATTCTCCAGACTGCGCTGATAAGGGAAGAAGGAAGTCACACCTCCCGAACATACATTTGGGGAAAAAACCTCCAGAGGAGGAGCGGCCAAAACGGTGGTTTGAGCGGTAGTGTTTGCTATTTTTCTACCCACAGCACCTGAGAGGGTTACGCCACGACCTGCCAGTGACAATTGCTTTGTATGTTATAATTCAATGTGGGTGAACCCGCCGGTAAATAGTAATGCGCGTCGATATAACTAATATGCCGTTGTTGATCCTCCCGAGGATAAATATAATTTCCCTGCACATAAAAAGGACGTGTTGATTTATACTCATCCCGGGACGTAAGGTAAATGCATAGCGCTGTTGTAACTGATTGCGAAATATGTGCTCTGTAATACAACAAAAGCGATACGAATCAACGAATCGACTCTTTAAACCCGCGCCGGGCCGGTGCTCCGCGACTTCCGCGTCGAGCAGGGGGGGGGGGATCTAAACACCCCCGTCTAACTCGACTCCTGGGCCATGTAGCGACACGCAGTAAGCGGCATTCGAAAAGGCATCAAAAATGATGCCGGAAACATCTCGTTCATTTTTTAGGTCAGGTCAAAGGTGTCGCCAGAAGTCATCAAAGGTCTATTTCAACAATTTTGGAAACTGCCAACGATTAACTCGGGAACCAATAGAGCTACAGCGTCGCAGGAAAGTGCATTCGATAGTAATTTTAAAGCTCTTTCTGAATATTGCTCTAAGATTTGACCTCAGGTTGACCAGAGGGTAAAAACTAAAAATAACCGTTTTTTGCGAAAAACAATTTTTCTGTAATACTCTGACCTAAGACAGTCACGACATTGATTTTGCAAGCATCGTGTTCCTCTCGTCGAGACCGTCGAATGAACTATAAGTTGACCTTAAAAGGGCATTTTGAAAAGTTGACCTCAGGTCAAGGTCATGACCTGATCGGAAAAGGTCATGTTGTAGATCAGTCGATCCGTATAGTCGACCTTAACACATATGAGGTGTTTTCATCACTCTAGCATGCGCCTTTCAGAAGTTACTAGCGAAAAACTGTTAGACCCCCATTTGTGACCTGAGATGACCTCAGGAATATAAGCAGGGGTCACGGGTGCCATTTTCCAGTTCAGTGTGTCATGTTGACTTGTTATTAGGTGTTCGAAAGTGTTCAGAATGGCGTCCATCCAGAAGAGACGCATTTGCATGACCTTAGGTCACCGATACCGAAATTCCGAGACATACATTTTGTACAGACTGCCTGATCAATAAGGGAAAGGTTCAAAGCGATCAGCAACTCGATGTATCTATCATAGACATTAAAACTTTTTAGGTTAGGTCACTCAAAGTGACCTGGTGACCTGACCTTGCATGACCCAGGCCTAAATTTTTCACAATACGTGCGGAAAAGATGCAGGAACAGGTGTGCTAAAAACAGCGGCCGCCGTTTTTACGACATCCGCAAAAAACCGCAGGGGTACTTAAACACCTTAACCTTCGCCCCAGTGGGGGGGGGGGGGGCATATGTTACCACCCTGTGGCGTTTTTTGCGTGTGAATAAAAAACCGCTTGGGGTAGCTTTTGGTACATCAATTTTGGACAATGTGTGAAATTTTTGACTCCATGTCATGTCAGGTCAGGTCACCAGGTCAAGTTAACTGACTAAGCCTAAAAAAAGTTTGCAATCATGTCCAGCCTGCAGTGTTTGTCAGAAAGGTTTGAAACTTGGTGGATTGCATGCTGTTATGGGCGCCTACAATTTGTTTATCTCGGATTTTTTTTTTATATCCGTGACCTAAGGTCAGGTCAGTGGCGTGACCTTTCCATTACAAGTCAATGGATAAAAATGAAAATGCCTCTAGATCCTTGTGTACGCATCGGAACAGTCCAAATATTTCAGAATCACAATGATTTAGTCCAATCGTGATGACCTAGGTGTCATTTTTGCTGATAGCCTCTAGACAGGTCATCCGAGGTCACTTGAGGCTACAAACAGTTTTTTGCCAATAACTCGCGATTGGAAAGAGATAGAACGCTGGGGATGGTCTCATTGTGTTTGTCTTGTTGAGACGCATCGACTGATATGCAAAATGACCTTTTCCGGTCAGGTCATGACCTTGACCTGAGGTCAAATTTTCAAGTTGACCTTTCAAGGTCAAATTATAGTTCATTCGACGCGTCTCGGCGAGGGGAACACGATTCTGGCAATAGAAATGTCGTGGCTTTTTGTAGTTGAAAGTTATTGTCGAAAAACACTTTTCGTAAAAACAGCTATTTTTGGAGTTTTTGCCCTCTGGAGGCTAAACCGTTGACCTGAGGTCAATATTGATAATGACCTTTTCAAAAGAAGAGTTCAAAAGCTATCGATTGCAATTCCATGCGTTTTTCTAGCTACCATATAGTTCCTGAGATAGCGGCTTGTTTTCTGAAAAATATCATGACAATTGGCAAACCTTGACCTTTGATGACCTGTGGTGACCCCAATATTGCTCTAAGGTGAAAAATGACCGATATACTTTCAAACGTACGCATTGAGAGCTATCGACTGCTTTTTACCGCGTCTTTCTAGCCCTCTTAATTTTTGAGTTAGAGGTGGGTGGTAACATATGCCCCCCCCCCACTAGGGCGAAGTTGGCTGAGACCGCCACTGGGGCGCGGGTTAACTTAACACGCGCACCGACGGGGGGGGGGGGTGGATATCCGCCCCCCTGAGGTTTTTCGGGAAATAGCGAATAGCGGGAAAACCGCGGCGCGTAGCGCCGCGAAATTTAATACGGCTATTTTCTCATCAATTTTACACATGGTGTGCAAGATTGAACCTCATAACTTTTAAGTTTTAAGGTCAGGTCACCAGGTCACTTTGAATGGCCCAGCCTCAAATCACTTTTTTGCAACTTTGTCACCGTGCCAGAGCTACAGTAGATGTCGGAGGCCTTTGAAAGTCGCAGGATGTTATGAGGTCATTAGTAGCTACAATTTATATATCCCGGAATTTTGATATCCGTGACCTAAGGTCAGGTCAATTTCTCGACCTCCCCATTATAAGTCAATGGGGGAAAAATCAACTCCCTGTTTTTACCACTAAAACGGGTTGGAATGGCACCATATACCATACATGACTTCATATACGATCAACCTTCACTACCTTGAGGTCTGTTGTGCTGTTGGGCAGCTGTAAGGTCATTTGACGTCATCAAAGGTCACCAGCGGTTTTTGCCAATAACTCCGTACAGGAACAAGATACAGCCGCGCGGATGGTCTCATTGTGTTCAGCTCGTCAAGACTCATCGAATGATATACATGATGACCTCGAGGTCACGTGACCTGAGGTCAACCTTTGACCTTGACCTTTCGAGGTCAACTTATATATCATTCGATGCGGATTGACGAGAAGATCACGATGATGCCCTTAGTTTGTTCCTATCTTGACTGATTCGAAAGTTATTTGAGAAAAACTCTCTACATATCTAGCGCTGCCATTTTGACTTTTTTGACCCCTGTGACGTCATCTTTGACCTGACCTGAAAGTGACCTCAGTAGAAATTGTAGACCTTGTCCGTGCATATCCGATGCCGTTTACCGCTTGCCGCTATCTTGCTTCGTTCTCGAGATCTCAGGGGGGGGGGCGGTCATCCACCCCCCCCCCGTCGGTACGAAGTTGGCGCAAACCCCCGTCGGTGCGCGGGTTAAACTCCCCCGGCCCGGCGCGGGTTAACTCGCGACCGAGTCTCTTTTTGGCCATGCTGGGGGCCGGTGAGTGAACGCACTTGGCTCCCTCGATTTGCCGACGTATTTGGCCCGCCCAAATATAATAGAAACATAGAAAAGACAGCAAACGGGAAACGCAGTCAATGTCTCTAATAAAATCATCAAAAATTAAACCGATTTTCGGTCAAGTCAACTCTAAGGTCACTGTAGGTCATCAAAGTTCACATTTTGTGATTTCTTCAATGACGATTATGCTATATCTGACGCCCTAGCTAAGTCATGCTTTATAGTTCGTGCAAGAAATCGATATTTCACCGAACTATATTTTCGCAGTATTTTGTTACATATATTTCAACAATCGTTGGCCTCCGGAGGCCAAAAAATGTTATAAAAAAGAAAAAAAAGACAAAACTCTGACACATCAGGCGAAGAAAGGAACACTGATTTTGCAGTTATTGTTCCTCTACGATAGCTATACCATTTCACATGTGGCTATGAGACAAATATACCCATCGCATTCCACTGAAGGAAACGCGTCGAATGAGTTAAAATAAGACATAGGACTTAGGAGGTCAAATGCACACATTGACTTGACCTCATCTGCAGGCCAGGAGCCGACCGACCCTACCGGGCTACGTTACATATGTAGGTATGTCGATTGTCGATGCGCCACACCAAGACAAACATCCAAACTATCCGTTTTATGGTTTGCTTCAGTTTTGGTTTACACTGAAGTAAAAATATTAAAAACCAAATATTACGACTTATAAAGTTGCCTTGTTCACTAGGGTTAAAACCAGTGAACCAGTGAAACCAAACTAGTGGGCAAGGCAGCTCAATAAAGACGAACTATTTTGATTTTAACATTATTTCACCCAGTGTAGCCCGAAACCCGTGTTTTTTGCTTAATTGCTAAAAGCTGAGGGCATTTACATTTTCCCATTACCTTTATCATATTATGGTGAAGCCACAAACCTCATATAACCCAAGGTCACGAATTCACGATTGTACAAAAAAAAAAGAAGAAGAAAAAGTAGAAGCTGATGATACTGTTATGCAGTCAACGAAGTTTCAAGTATAGGAATTAAGCTGTAGGATCGATACGACCGTTAACTTGTTTAGGGTCAGAGTTACCTTGACCTGGTGACCTGAGGTCAAAATATCCGTCATTGGTGCAAGCATGATCTTACATAGGACGTGCAAACTTTCGCCGTCCAAGTTCGGATGTGGTCTAGTGTTCTTCCCCTCCAGCGTGGCCTGTGAGGAATAACCTAGCATAATACATGCTAGGTTTTCGCTAGCATGTATTATGCTATGTATGCTGGGCTGGAACCACAGGACTTAAATTGCAAGGCGTCTGAGACCAATTTTCACTGTTCCAGCCGCACCCTCAGCGCGAGAATCACCCACCCTCTCCTAAATTTAGGCAACCGACCTTCATTCCGCTGCGCTCCCCGATAAAGCACTGCCCTCGCGCGACCTCAAAGCAAAAAGGAGCAACGAGGAACTGCAGAAACTTTATTTTACGTAACAAAATGTCATAAAACAACTCAACAGATGCTCTTTTGAAGTCTTAATGCGAGCGTGGCGGTGGGAGACCTCACTGTAAGCACAAAGACTGGTCATAAATGCGCAGCTCTGGTATTTCATACAGCGATACGTGCCGGCCGAGGGAGGCCGTTCCGCTCCTGGGCTGGAGACGCCTG